AAGGTGATCTACAGTCCGTATGTAAACAAAGCCTTTGTTTACATTTTGTGTCCAAAATATTGAGCTTTATTCGACAACTATTTATATTTTCAAGCTTCTAGAGTATAATAAATGATCAAGAAACAACAATCAGGCTTTTCAAGAACTCAAAACATAGTTAAACTGTTTGTATCATAAAAAGTGGGCTCATTTGTGCACATGCGCAGATCGGACTGTAGATCACCTTTAACTGTTATTTGATAATTACTGCATCAACCGGCCCCTTGTTTATACTTTGGAGGTTCGTACTTCGTATATAATATCTATCAAGTATCTTTGGTTCAGAACATGATAGGCCTATATGGAAATCCCACTGTTCGATTCAGTGAAGAAATATCTCCTAATTTCTATCGATAGTTTTAGTAAAATGTCAACATTATTGCGATTTATGGCCTTTGAAAGTCAAGCGAGATCGTATATTATCAAATTAAGACGCATGTAATTGTCTGAACGAAAATATATAGACTAGCCCATACCTTTCGCCGATCATATAACTTCGGCCCCTTCGGACGTATCTTCTTTGTTAAATATTCTTGTTCGAATCTCTATCAATAGCACTATTTAGAGTGTTATTTTTCAGCTTGTATCTTTTAATTTGCTTCTTTTTATTATGTTATTCCATTTCTGGTCTGACTTGACGTGAACTAATTTCAAAACGCAGAGTTTCAAAAATCAAAACGTCAAAACATTTGGTTAATGATTAACATTTAACCGAATTTAGCCGTTGATTGACAACTACATAAAAATACTAACCAATCCGTTTTTCCCGTTCACCAGCGGACGGGTAATTCAAAAACCCCTAGTTTTGCGGCAGACGGTATTTCCTTTGCTTCCCTAATTTTCGCTGCCCGTAGAAATACCGCCTGCCATGCAGGCTAGTTCAATGTGGGAACCTCATTCTCATGTTCCAAGATGAATGGTGATTGGTTCACAATTCATCAGAGCGAGGCTCCCAGGCCAAAAAAAAGATATGTGACGTAATTATCGAAAAGGTCTATTGTGCATGATTGAAGTCATATAAGCTGAAAATGTTGGCCAGTTTGTGGCTTGATTTTTATCTTGACTTCCATATTTGTGGCCTTTTGGCTTGTTTTATTGATTTTTAATACATTTGAATTAGTCGCTTACTGTTACATAGTATATGTTGTCCATAAAAGTTTTAAAAGATTGCAAGCATATTAATTTGACTTTCTTTATAATATTCCAGGACTAGGGTAATTCATTCTGTTACAAGCTTTCCAACCGAGGAACGTAATATACGTATTTATTATATGGCTTTTCACGAAATTCTCTATTCTGACTGGTTGGCAAGCGGTCCGTAAAAACCCATATTCGGACCGTGGTTCGTATTTTCCGTATCTGGACCGCTGTCCCGGATGTCGCTTGGTCCATACTAAAAACCTCAGTCTGATATTTCACAGTACAGTCTACAGATCTCATGCTCGGTCAATAAGCCGTTTCATATAGACTTCAGAAACCCAACTGACCCGCCCGAGAATCATCAGACTTCTCAAGGGTTCAAAGACAGTGCCACAAATAATCGGGTAGTTGACTATAGTTCTTTTCGCTTATCGAAAATGTGCACGTAATAGTCTCGTAATTGGTAACCGATAAAATAGAACTGACAGAAATGCAGTTCATGATTGCGTCTGTAAATGTATAAACACCAACACAGAAAAAAAACAATAGACCCTTTCAGAAAGTACTTGTTACTATAGTATAGAGTCTCGTTTTCATGATTTATTTTGTTACTGATGACCTACTGTAATTATATCAAGGTCTGTTATATATAATCTAATATACAGTAACTGTATGATTTCGTAAATATGTCACCTGTAGGGTTTAGGATGCAACAACATAATTCATAAATGCCGATGGCCCTAAATCCAATATCTCTAGTCACGAAAACATGGCTCTATATAGCCAAGACTGAATACTTTCTGAAAGGGCGGGGTGAAACAAAACAGAACAATAACAGTTATGGCTTATGCTGTAAAGTTACCCGAAAGATATGTGTAATATGATATTATAATTTACAAAATTAAAGACCTCTGCCTATTAATAAATATTTAAATAGCTAATACTCTACAACACGTCAAAAATGACTTGATGTTTACCCACTTATAAATGCCAAAATAACGGTCTTTGTCGATGGCAGTTAAAATATTAGATAACTAGGTCAGTATGTCAGATGTAGCAACCCCCTAGCTTAAAAAAATTTGCTCGTAACACAAAACTATAAAAATATAAGATCTTTAAAATCTCTTCTCACTATAACCAGCTATACAACATAAAAAATGTACAGTCTCGCAAGCTTAGCTACCATACAGTATGTACTGTTATCATAATGTACTGTAAGCCAACACAGAAATGTCAGAATGGAACAAATCATACATATATGTGGATTGAGTGGTATATATATACAGTATAAATAAGCATTAAATAATTTTTAACGACTCCAGTAACTTCTGGATTCACATGACACATGCATGATTATATCAGCTTTTCTGGTATAGGTAACGTGAATGCCGTATTCATTTGCTGTCCTTGTATCTGCTCTTGACTTTTGGGATTATAAACTCCAAACACAGAACTACTGGTTCTTTTAATATACACCACCACGCAAACCACCAATGTCACTAACAGTAGAACACCCACCGCCACACCGACAACAATATAAATAAACTCAGAGTCGACATCATCTTCCTCTGAAACTTCTCTCATTGTCTGATTGCAAAATTCCCCGTGGTAGCCTAAACTACATTTGCAATCACATTTGCCTTTTGTCCCATCCCAAACATATACACCATTTACACAAGGATTACTGCCACATTGACATCCTTTCGAAGTACCCATGATTTTCCTCTTAAAAGGTTGGCTGTCTTTAGACATATTTAACAAGTCTATGACATGGTTATTTAGACTGAACAAACCAATACAGCCTTCAAAAGATTTTAAACTTTTGTCATCAGTGAGACCACCAATTTTGAAACCCGATGTTTTTAGCAAATTGGAAAATTCTTGGCCAAGTAAAGTGATGTTTTTGCTAGCAGTAAACTTGGATGCACATGTTGTTGTTATAGAAACATCACTTTCGCTCAAGTAGATATGTGTGAAACTGACGTTTGAAGTAATGTTAAGTAAAAACCACTTGTTTGTGTTTACCAACCCTAAAAACATTGAAAATTAATATCCAAACACTTCTTAACTTAAGCTTAATTCAGCTAATCAACCCAATAATTAAGCCACTTAATTACTAGTTTAATTACTTAACTAGCTTAATTTAACTAGTTAAGCTAAATAATTTAAATATCTGTTTTATACTGACAAACATTATTTTTTTATAATTCATACCTATGTCAATGGATCCATTACCAGTCTGGTTAAAGTCATATTCAAGCTTTAAAATTCCACTTTTTATATTTATGGCAAATGATTGGTTTCCTGACATTGTTGCAGTAATTTGTGAATTTGACTGAGTCGTTTTAAACTGTACTATCATAGATGATATATCATCAGACAATGCAGGACCAGTTATGTTAACCAAAGAGTTCTGTCCATTAAAAGTGACAACCATTGCCGCTAGAAAATTGTAAGAAACAAAGTCAATTAACTTCAAGTAGAGTGTATTTTATAGAGTACAATACATGTATTGAAACTTAATTTGGTTAATTTGTTTAAATCAAAGTTTGTAGATGTATATTTTACTAATGATACTGTATAATTGTGCAAATACATACAAATTGAATTGTTTGCAAATTTGGATGCAGTAATTGGTGGAGATCAAATCTAGGAGCCTGCAGATTTATATCAGTCTTAATCCTTTAAGTGGCAATGTGCCCTGATGAACACTACTTTATTATTTTACTCTGTCTAACACCAGACGATTTTGCTCATCAAGGGGAAAGTGCTGAGCCACTCAATGGGTGCGCTTAAATGTCAACGGTCTCCCTCGACATGTATATTATTGTCTGGCATTAGACAGAGTAAAATATTCTGGCATTAGACAGAGTAAAATAATCTGGCGTAACAGCAGCGTTAGTCAGAGTAAAATAAAATAAAGTGAGGCGCATCATGCAGTGCACAATGTATTTCAATGGGTTTTAATTACACTGTCTGTCAATGCATCCTGTTAAACCTTTAAGTGGCAATGTTCTCTAGACTTTATTATTTTACTCTGTCTAATGTCAGATGATTTTAATCTGTCAATGGGAGAGTGTGCCACTCAATGGGTAGCCTGCGTGCAGGCCCAAGGGAACTGATAGTGGGCCTGCAAGCAAGGCCCGGTATTTTGTAAAACGCCCCTTTTCATAACACGCCCCATTCGCGCGTCAATTGTCAAAAAAGAACCAATGACAGCACCCAAATATTAACAGACAAACTCGCATTAAAATGTTGCGAGTTTTTCTCTGCTTATTCAGAACACTAATAAACAATGTGTAAATGGCTGCGTTTTAACTCCAAAAAAGCAAGCAACGCAGTCAGTAATTGCCAAATTTGCAAGTGCTCATTTTCAACTAAAATCGGAACAAGCAAATTAGGACGAATTTCAACAGAAAACCAGTCTCAAACTTCAAATCATGAGTGAAGTCGTGCAACCACATTAGGATTTATATTATGTGTGCTTCGCTGTCGCCATTGGCATTGTTATAAATAAATTGTCTCACTTATCAGATCGTGTGTGCAATTCTTGTTGGCGGCGGAAATTACAAAATTTATTTCAGTTATTTCATTTGGTAAAAAACTCTACAAAAGAAGAGAGCGTTCCGAGTCCAGATCGTTTCGTTTCGAACGGCAATTTAATACCGCCTTCTGTTTCGCTCTCTCAGTGAAGCCTTGTAAATCGCAAAGTGTTTCGAATAGGCTTACAGTCCTTACATGCAACTGCATCTCAACATCAACCAAAAGATAATTTTCTTGAGGAAGTGAGAACACATAACATATCAACTGAAGTCTGTTTGAAATTAATGAAACTCAAGTAAAGGTTACTATAGTTTACCCCACTCGTAATTTGCTATTCCAGCACCTCACGACAAGCAATTCCCATTGGCATAACGGCAAAAACATGTCTTCCTTCAAGTAAACAATAAACAGTCTGTTCTTGTTCCATTTGTAATCGAAAAAAGTGATCAATTTTCAAATTTTAAGCTTATCGAGAGCCTTTGTCTATGCCTAGGTTAATTAATTACCGATTGCCTCAGCTAGCCAATGGGAATTTAGCCAGTGGTTCGGCTGGCGAAAATCGAAAACATGGGGTGATGGTTGCAGGCTGTCCCTCACCCTCAGACAGCCTGTACGCAGGCTACTCAATGGGTTATTAGCTACTGAAATTGCGTTTCGGAAAACTGTTCACTGAGTTACATATTAGGTATTTCCTCTGTGGATATTGTTGGCATATTTCACTGGATTCAATAATAGTTGAAGGGTCTTGTAGACGAGCATTTAAGTACTCACTTCCAGTTGTACATAATTAAAATGTGAGATTCAAGTTATAACTACCCATAATTAGTCATATGTTACTTCCTGCAGAACGATTAAAATATTTACGTGTTGCTACTATATCTTACAAAATTATATTGTGTTGCAACCTCCTATTTTTTTTAATCAGTCTCAAGGTGCCAAGATAATTTTACTAATTGAAGGGCAACTCTATAACTTGGGCCTTGGGGTGATTACAATAAATCCCTTCCTTAGTTCATTGTGGTCTTTCTTCCAAATTCATTTTGGGTAACATAGGCAACTACTGTCAAATATATAGACAATTTTAGATCAAAATATCAAGAATGATTTTACATGTAATCTCAAATCGAGATAAAGGATTTATCAAAACATTTCTGTTAATTATAATTTATTTATAAATGTCTATTAAAAAGCTAGTATGCACTGATGCAGGGTTCTATTTTACCGACTATAATCGCAAGGCAATTTAAACTAAATCTCTCATATTCCTTAAAGTTCTGGTAAACTTTGTTAGTTTACTACCATTTGTAGGACTTGTAGCATATTCATTTTGCTGCCAATAACCTAGAACTAGAAGTGTACAAGGTATAACCCAAGTTTTCGATATTGATAAGGTATTTAAATTTATTATAGTGATTAAAAAGCAAAGCTTTATACGAGAACAGTGTAATACCGTAGGAGGCAATAAAAACAATTACTTTGCTCGCATGTAAAGTATGTTTTCATAAGAAACAGAGTAATTGCTAATTGCTGATATATGGATAAAAACTATATCAGATTGAGAAGGTGCGAACATGATTTCAACAAATTCACAGACGATATTAGTGTGTCAATACAGTATAAGATCAAATTATCAAATTTAGTTTAAAACGTTTAGTTTCAATTTGGCAACTTACCGAGTTGTATTAAACAGGATGCGAGGGCCATATCTTCTTTAAAAATGTTCTTACGACCCAATAGAGTTTCAATTTACGGAATAAAATTGCAACAATATATATTAAAAACAGCTTCGAGTTCGTTTCGAAGGTTCGACTAGACACAACAAAAAATCCATTCTTTGAAAATTAACGTTTAAAATTGCCCGAATTTGAATGCTTGCTGTCGCGATTTGTCCCACCAAATGGAGAGATTATTTCAAGGCAGATGAAGCGTGGTGTTGAGTAATACGACAGGAATTTGTAACTGATATTTTGAACCCGGCTGGCGAGCAGTATTTTGAAATATTTTATAGTCCATGCACACAATATGTTGATATCAACGAATGTAAACAAAGGATGTGATGTAACAAGTACCAGGAAGGAAGTAGGTTGTGGACATATCCCACAAAGATAGAATGCCAACCTTAATATTAATATAGCCCTATTAAAAAACCCACAGATTCACTTTTAGTACATTCTAAAGGTTGTTTAAATTAACTATTTTGTTATTTTCTCTCTTGGCAAGTCGGCGTTGCAAATTTTCTAAGTTCAGGAAACTGAATAATTATAACAATTAAATATTATGTGAAAAGCGTACTGAAATTCGTACGATTTCGTCATGAAATTGAATACTATAGGGTTACGAATTGGCTCACGACAATTTTATCTAAAACTCCATGTAATACCGCTTTCGATAGGTATTATAAACGCAATATATACCCACACTGGTACAGACAGTTTTGGCATAATTGGACCCCGACATCCTTGAAGGATATTGCCATTATTGGGTGCCATGGTGCTTTTCCACAACAGTTTAAAATCTATTGCTGTGGATATACAAGCATAAAATCACAGAACCGTAGAATCATAGAACCATAGATTTGAGTTGTACTAACCGATGGGACCATCAGTTGACCACTCGTGCAGATGCGTTTGATATATCCAACTAAGCCAGGCGCAAGACAAATCATACTATATAAAGATGAAACACAACACAGGCCTTGGATTCAAAGTTTGAAATGACAGTTAATTCAAGCTTTGAATATTACATATCACACAGACGACGCCCACGCGAGCACCTGTGAGTGACGCACGCTACTTGTTCCCCATAAACACATTTTCATATACACTATCAGGACTATCAGCACCATTCGTGAATGATAATATAGTTTTAGAGTTATACAGTACTGGGTCTTATAATATGGTTAATGGTTCTACAGGACTGGTATATAATTCGACATTACTTCACACCTGAGGCACGCAAATGGTAGCAGTCCTCTACACCGGCTTTCATTGCTATCATTTTGCGCACAGGACTAAGAGAGGTTACCGGTTACACTTGTACAGCGTGCCAAATATATAATCGTCCTGATTGGCGCTTGAAAAGGATTAACATTGACATCAACAGCCAATTTTACACGATAACACCTCCATCAAACGACTCGAATAGACTCGGCATCAATGCGTTAGGGTAAAACGCTGATACGGACGGACGGACGGACGGACGGACGGGCGGGCGGACGGACGGACGGACGACCTATTTTTCTCTCAAATATGTTTTAAACATCATATCCGCGTTTTACCCGATCGGGTAAAACGCGGATATGGTGTAAAATATGCTTTTCGGCTCTTTAAAAGGCATATCCGCCGCATATTAGGTTGTGTACAATTAAATCGTGTCCGATGGGCCTAAAATCGAAATAGACATATTCCATCAGAAGTGCATATCGCTGATATCGGTCAGGGCAAATTCCTTTAATTTCGACGATGTTTGCATGATTTAATTGATTAATAAGTCGTGCTTCTCTCAGTATCAATTTTCTTGCTTCAAGACTCGAGTCCAGAAGTTTTTTAACTACAATATTTTCATGTTCACCCGTAGGCTCCTCCGCAGGTCACTATGATGGTATTCAAACGGCAAAATTCATGTATATGATTGTAATAATCAATGCCGTCATGCGTTGAATCCCAGTGCCAAAATCAGGCGTATAATTTATACGGCAACACAGAAAAATACAGCCGCATATTTCAATTTATACGAAAATTCAAAACAAACTATGCCCGCACAGGATGGGCTAGTGGGGATATCCCCCATATTTCGCCTTCCCAAACTTCGAATCCCTATATAATCCCCTCTTTGGCTCTTTCAGTTATGGCTGCGGCCAAAGTTTGCTTTGAATTTTCTTAATTGAAATATGGCTGTATTTTTCTGTATTGTCGTATAAATTATATACGCATTTTAGTGCTGGGATTCAACGCATTGGCCGTTTTTATACTAGAGACGTACAGACGCATAATCCGTCTTCTACATTATTCGTCTAGTATAAAGACGGGACGAATAATGAGACGACGAACTATAGACGGCCAATGCGACGAACTATCAACATTTATTGTTCGTCTGGTTATGCGTCCCCAGTATAAAGACGGGCACAAGACGCATTATGCGTCTAGACGAACTATCATCGGCTGTGCGTCTCTTAAGACGAAGAATCGAACATAGTTCGTCTAAACGCATAATGTGTCTTGTGCCCGTCTTTATACTAAGGACGTATAACCAGACGAACAACAAATGCTTGCCCAAGTTCGTCCAGACGCATAATGCGTCTCTAGTATAAAAACGGCCATTGTCGGCATTGATTATTACAACATTATACATGAAATTTGCCTTTTGAATGGCATCATAGTTGCGTGCGGAGGAGGCTAGTTCACCCGGGAGCATCGCTGTATATATAAACATAACATGAACAGCAAACCCGCCGTCGCCAATTTCATCTTTATCAACCAGTGATCGATATACGAATACTGCGATAAACCTGAAACATCTATGGTTTCAAGATTTTTTGATTGATTACAATCTTTCAAACTCACAAACAACGACATTTCATTGAGCTGATTGACTACACTGAAAAAATACAGTTTGCAGCGAATTCAATTGTTCAAACTTCAAAGTTCGCTCCACTTGTACCTGTCACGGTGTCAGGAGCGGGGCGAAACATCGCAAGATATTAATATATTTTATACTAAATACGCGAGAGCATTTTACACCATATCCGCGTTTTACCCGATCGGGTAAAGCGCGGATATGCCTTTGAAAGAGCCGAAAAGTATATTTTACAATTTACACCATATCCGCGTTTTAGCCGTTCGGGTAAAACGCGGATATGCCTTTGAAAGAGCCGAAAAGCATATTTTACACCATATCCGCGTTTTACCCGATCGGGTAAAACGCGGATATGCCTTCCGTCCGTCCGTCCGCCCGTCCGTCCGTCCGTCCGTATCAGCGTTTTACCCTAACCCGCATCAATGCAAAGAGTCTATTCGAGTGGTTTGGTAGAGGTGTTATCGTATAAAATTGGCTGTTGATGTCAATGTTAATCCTTTTCAAGTGTCAATCAGGACGATTATATCTTTGCCAAAGTTGGTCTACCTAACCTTACCATATGGCATATACTTACAGTAAGACTATAATTATGAAGATATACACCCTTGGACATGCATGTATACCTAGTATGTTTGGACGATTAATAGCAATAGTTTCCCTGCATGTGCTGAAAACCACATTTCATATAGGAGAAAATGGATCAATTCTGCAATTATTCGAGGCTTCCTTGCACGTGCAATGATCCATGACAAAATTATTCGAGAATCTGCGGTAGCAGAATTAAGCGGAACGTAATACACTCGTTTCTGAATTATAGTAAAGGAAATTTTGCTCGCAATAGCATTCCTTCGTTATGTTATGTTAATATACGCCAAATAAATTTCGCAGCAAAAAATAATCATCGCTTTAAATTACCAATTATCACATGATGAAAGGGAATTTCCCTGTCTAGTCATACAATGACCAAAACTGCCCAAAATAATTCAAAGGCTCAAAAATTTGTCAGGAATTCTGGCAGCCCTTTCGAGTTAAATCTTTTACGATTTTCGGTATGAAATTCAACCGCAAAAGCTAATGATTAAAACAATGAAATTCCGGTTTATTTTATATCGAAGTTGAGCGCTTTTATACATTTTTGGCACTCAACTGGCAAAAGGGAAATGCTGATGTTACAAAAATGTGCAAAGTCATGCAATTTGACGTTATGACGTTATTTTTGCATTAAACGCTATCGTGGAAGGATGTTTAAAATGAAAATGTTCAAAAGTTTTGTTCTGGTAAGTAAATTACGTTTCGTAATCGCATGCGGTCTTGTTTAAAACGGGGAAATCCGATAAGGGTATTATTGCTATGTTGATATTATTTCATGGTGTGAAGAAACCCAATCAAATGAGCAAATAAATAATATAGTTGTACAGAATTTTGGTACTTCGAGTATATTTGGTACACTTGTAAGTTACAGTATATTTCATTGGTATCTCTCGAATATGGTCGTAACTTTCGTAAAGATTGAGTCACGATCTTTCTCATCAGCCGAAATACAACATTTTAAAACTGAAAATACGCCGAGTGATTATAACTAGAGAATTCTTATATATGATTTATATGTGGTTTACATGTATAAACTATTATAAACTGGCCGTTGAGAAAGATCATGACTCAATTTTTACGACCATTTTTACGAGTTACATGGTCAGAATCTTTGGTAACTTTACGAATGTATAGATCACTAGCAGATACTACCACATCATAGCGATCACTACCACATCATAGCGAGCTAGCTGTTACGGTTTAAATGAGAACTCATTCAAATGGCCGAAAAGCGCCAAACTTGACAGTAATAAGCTTTCTGAAATTGACATTGGTCTGTACAGTACATTAGAACTTAACTGTTCTCTGTTGGAATTTTGAGAGTTTAGAATGTTTTTTATATATGAATACATAATAGTGTTTAAACTTTAATGCTAACCTAATTTCTCATAACTTTGGTATAACTACAAAGTTTGTTTATTGACAAAGGCTAAAAAGAATTTGCTAGGCTGACCACATTTATACGCAAGCCGCTGAAAATTCCGTAACATATGTTACAAAATTTATGGTGCAATTTTCATTGCATCACGTGGCAAAAGTGTGCACGCAAAATTCTATGATAAACAGTTTGATTGTCGATTATCTTTTCAATATTAAATTCATATAGCTAAACTAACGCGAAGATTGCTAACATATTTCGAATTCCAGTCGAGGTTAAAAGGTTATGTGTATAGGAAAACGCATTGTCATATATGGCAAAATTCGTGTGGAAACCAAACGCGTGGGAAGCAATATAACATTGGAGGATCAAGTACATTTTCTATTAGAAAATGGCACTTCGTCCATGTTTATATTGGGCCTGGTTATATGACGTTTTTATTCCGGCTGGCTTGGAAACTCACCAAGATAGAATAGCGTGTTGATATAGAAGGAAGAAACACTTGTTCCGACGTTTCGGCTCGCTGGAATAGAGTGCTTACATGGCGAATTTCTGCCCCTGCCGGACAAGTTTGCGATAGAGTTTATATTACAAGCAGGATCTTGGCAACTGCCCTATACACATGCAAAAATCTCACGAATGGAAGCAAGTCTGCCAACATGCTGTCGACAAGTTGTGTTCGCACTGCTTGTCCCAAGTTGTCAACACGCTTGGAACAACCTTGTTGATATTATCAGACTTGTTGCAAGGTTGTTCCAACAAATCCGTTACAGTCATGATATAACAATATTGTTACAACGTTGTCTCGTCGACCTTGTAACAAGTCTGATAATGCCATCAAGCTTGTTACAAGTTGTTAACAGCTTGTTTCAAACTTGTTACAAGAACTGGAAACAAGCAGTATCGACAGCTTGTGACAAGCTTGGTGGCATTATCAGACTTGTAGCAAAGTTGTTCTAACAAGTCTGATACAATGATGTAACAAGAATGTTACAAGGTCGACGTCACAAGGTTGTAACAATATTGTTATATTATGATAATCATGACCGTATCAGACTTGTTGGAACAACCTTGCAACAAGTCTGATAATATCAACAAGGTTGTTACAAGTTGTTAACAGCTTGTTCCAAACTTGTTGACAACTTGTAACAAGCAGTGCGAACACAACTTGTTGACGGCGTGAGGCAGACTAATTGCTACAAGATGCGAGATTTTTGCGTGTGTACGCAATAAAAACGTAACAGAACGGCAAACGTGCAGATTCGGCCATCTCAAATAATGGAATGTGGGGATAGTAGCGTTGCAGATTGCATGCAGAGGAGAGTGGGAAGTAAGGTTCCCTCATGCACCACCCCATGGAAAACCTACATCCCTCTTAATTTGCAGATGAGACTAGATCCGTCCCTGCAGGGTTTTTTTCAAGCATAGCACTCGACAGGAAATTCTCTACCAAGCAACATAACCATTCTATTTCTACCATCTTACAGGTTTTTATGGCAGAGCATATACATTGGTCAATTGCGACAAAATGTGGCTTGAATCAAATCACCATCATACAAAACCGTTCCGAACATTGTGTCGACTGCGTTCAATGTCCCAAGGGAATGGGAAGTATCCCACAATGCGGTTCGTTTCTCACGAGAAACACGACAGTCACGTGCAAGGCGTGCGTCAAAGGCGTGTCGTATTCAGAGTCACATGACCACACCTCGTGCAAACAGTGTAGAATATGCGTGGAAAACGAAGAAGTGATTAAAAACTGTACAGCAACCTCGGATGGTGAATGTGGAGAATGCAAGCCAGGGTAGGCCAGTGTGTAGAACAGGGCTCGAAATAGCGGGTTGCCAATGAAGTAGGTCATATTTTAGAAATGGCAGGCAAAAACAAATTTGAACTGCCAAAGTAAAAAAAATTCTATATATATATTTCATTTCATTTGCTTACCACAATTCAATATACTAGATCATTTAAGTGACTAAATGCATTTATATTTGAAATGTAAATCCAAGTTTACTTAAGTAAAATAGACAAGCATAATTAAAAATAATAAAAATGCATATCATGAAAACACTGATTTTTACAATATGACTTCTATGAGACATCGCCATTTTGGCAGTTCAATGAATAAAAATGGCAGGCTAAAATTTGTTTCACCTGCCAAAAAAATTTAGACTGGCAGGCCATATTTTTTCTCTACTTCGAGCCCTGGTGTAGAATTTTGCATTTAGTGCTGAGTGTTGCATTTCGAGAATTTTGTTATATTATCAAGTTACAAGTTTGTTAAAACCTATTCATAACTTGTTATCAACCAGCCATGCAAGCACTGGTTCATAACGGCATGTTGGCGGCACAATATATCATTAATATTAATACACGTGATCCCCCAGGCACAATTTGACCAGTAAAGGGTCCTCCCTTACTGGACCTCTATGAAGAACAATTTAAAACTGTCAGAACTATCGAATATAAATAAAACTAATTTTAATAAGTTAACTAGAATGGTTCCTCGTGCTAGCTATAAATTTAGATCTTACAATTGTGCAACCACATCAGTTTAAATGAGTTTATATATATATATATGTTCGCGTGTATATTACTTGTACTATGAAATTATCGTTAGTGCTATCATAGTATATCCTAAGTTATGAAAATATCGCATTATTAATTTAACAAATATATCCACAGGTATTATCGCAGTTTCGTGTTTTCTTGTGTAAAATGCTCGCCTTGTTGCCAGGATACGCAGGAGGATGACGTGGAACCACAATGTTTGAAACAAGGATTCTCCAGAGACCGAGCCTGTCGGTACACGGGTAGAAATTGCGGGGGCATGAAACCAACTTCAATGAATAGTATGGTATTTAAATCCACAGCAAGCCAAGAATTAGAAAAAAGTAACATTCCTTTACCTTACATCATTGGTTTGATGGTTTTCGTGTTTGTAGTTTTTGTACTGGCATTGCTGGTCATATTTCTAATGTATCGAGTTTACGGTGCTGGGAAGGGTAACAGGTCAAGGGTGATATTACGGCTTCAAGGTAAGGGAATGAACGGATATATTGCATGGATATAAATTGGCACACCTATGGATGATAAAAAGACTGAATTTATTTAACTATCCAGGGCTGGTTTGATGAGCTATTTAATGTACGGCTAATTGCAAATTATTTTTGTATGGTATGTTATAGTCACTGGATCATGACTGGATGGAATGGAGAACAGTGAGATTTTCAAAACAATGAAAAGTCAAAAGACAATGGAACATTCTGGTCACGGGATCATGACTGAATGGCATGGAGAACAGTGAGATTTTCAAAAGAATGAAAAGACAATGAAACATTCCGATCACTGGATCATGACTGGATGGCGTTAAGAACAGTGCCATTTTCAAAACAATGAAAAGACAATGAAACATTCCGATCACTGGATGGCATGGAGAACAGTGCGATTTTCAAAACAATGAAAAGACAATGGAACATTCTGATCACTGGATCACAGGGATGGATCCAGCATGATCTGGTAGGGGGGGAGGGGGTGGTCTGGTGGCAACTGCCGAGTTGTGTCGGTCACATGTGCCGCCCGCCCATCAACTACTGTATTTGAATTGTAATTGTTCACAGTTCACTTGTCATCATGTTATTACTCAAATTACTGTATCTCATTTTGTCTTTTTTGCTTTATCATAAAAAATAGCACCCCCTGCACCCCCTCTGGCCAGTGCTAGGGGGGGGGGGGTATGCACCCCCCAGTAAATCCATCCCTGCTGGATCATGACTGCACGGATAGCATGGAGAACAGTGAGACTATCAAAGCAATGAAAAGAAATGGAACATCTTGATCACTGTATCGTGACTGGATGGCAATATTGTTTTGCAAAGACCCAATTCTAGAAAGTTGCACATATCAAGAGTTATGTTAATATTCTTATATTCTTTTTTATGCTGTTTAGATCAGTATGACAACAATGACAATGTTCACCTATCAAGCCAAGTAGAACTCGGAAAACCTTTGGTTCATCAAACAAAACTTTGAACAACAACAACTATCAGAAGGGAGAAGTGGTCGAAATAGAAAGGGCGTTTGGCCATCAAAGACGACAATATGTTTGGAATTGTAAAGGACGAATATTAATGCAGGACTATATAAGCATATATAAAGCTTATTAATTCACTGAGAACAATATTACTACCGAAACTGCATGTCCTTTACAACATATCCAAGCAGACATTTTCCGAATTGACCATTTGCGTAATAGACTAAATTTTGATCTAAACAAGTCTAGAGAAAAATTTCATCACAGCTTGAAAGAGCATCACAAAATTGGTAATATTCCGAAGTTTCGTTGCGAAATGTTGTAAAATGCGGATAATATAGCCTTGCGAAGTTTACAATTTTCAGTCATTTTAGATTACAAACGGGAAATTAATACCCAAACCCAATTGCAAACTTCGCAAGGCTATATTATCCGCATTTTACAACGTTTCTCAACGAAACTTTGGAATATTACTAATTTTGTGATGCTCTTTCAAACTGTGATGAAATTTTTGTCTAGATCAAAATTTAGTCTATTACGCAAGTGGTCAATTTAGGATACTGCAGACAAGGTATATTCACAGAGAAAGATTTAAATTTCCATTAATGGATTTTTGAATGTAAAAACAGAACTCTTACCATTCTTGGTTATTATATAGATTTCCCATTTGATCAATTAGTAAAAACTAACTAAAATGTTTAATATTTACAGGAAATACCAATAATAAACATCATCGTTTTTACCAATTAACTATATGGGAAATCTATATATTAACCAATAATGGGAAGAGATCAGTTTTTTACATTGATACTCGATAGTATACAGTACATGGTATGATGGTAAATCTTAAAAACCATTCAAAAACCATTAATGAAAATTTAATTTTTCTCTGTGATTTTGTAAGGCTTAGGCCAGGGTCAATTGGTCAAATGTCGAACTTTTCATGTGCCGAACCTAATGTTAATGAGCTAAGTTCTTTGTCTCACTTCATTTGCATTAGGTTCGGCGCATAAAAAGTTCGACGTTTGACCCTGGCCCTAGCTTTTTTAGAGTATGCTAAATAAGAAGATGTATGTCCAAATTGTTTGCATATAAAAACAGAAAAGAAAAACAAACAATGGATGTTTTATAAATCGATAACATTTTGTTCACTAACTAACATTTTGTTCGATAACAGTTTGCTATGTGTGTATATGGTAATTACCACGAGCGTTGGCAAATTGTCAAGTTTTATTGCTTATATTACATAATTTATATGAATGCTTCCAAATTACGATGTCGGTAAAGGTCAACTTATACATGTTTGTAGACAAGTTGTGTGCTTGATTTACACAGTATAACTCAAGTTGTAAGCAGGTTGCATGCGACAGTTTTAGGCAAAAATTGTGTAGTGTGTATAAATCGGTCTTAAACGTACTACGCTTAATGTTTTGGACTGCGCGGTGTATGAAATCATTTGGGCTTGGCATAAACTCAAACTATGTATGGTGAACAAAAGGGTGACTGACAAAAATGTCTTAAAAAGTCTCTCTGCAAGTGGAAACATGCCTATATCTGCATCGAAAATCACTTTTTATTTCTGACTTGTCAAATTGGCAAGTCGAGTCCGAGAGGAAGTACATAAAGAGATCTCACTTCAGGTTAATTTCGCGTAAGGGATTTTTTAAGTCCGCCATGTTCTTAACAAGTGCCCTAAAGAGAGGCAGTCACCCCCCTGAAAACATATTGAAAATTTAATATTCCAGGGGGGTGAATGCCTCTCTTTAGGGCACTTGCTAAGAACATGGCCGCCAGCTATTTCGGTAAAAAAGCGCCTTACGGTTTTGTAATGGAAGTTACACTTCTGTATGTCTTTATTCTGTGTCCGAGTCGCGTCATCTGGAGCTGTTGACTCGGACCGAGCGACACTGAATCATGCAGACCGACAACTACTGTTTATACTACACATATAGCAGGCGAAAGGCTCAAAGGCACAATGTACCACAAATAAAATATTTTATCGTATCCTACCTCAACTGCGATCAGCCACCACGACAACTCTCTGGCCATATTTCTTGATACATTGATCGACGTATTCCACGATCTTTTTTAATCTTCGGTCGATCGCGTCCAAATGTTTTTGCGAGAGGATCGGAGCTAGCGGTTCAGAACTCATAGATTCCTGCAAGACTTCGCTGAGTTTCTTATCGTTCTGGTTATCGAGAGCTTTTATTCTTTGCCACGTTGAACGAAGGATTCTGAAAGGGGGGAAGAAAAAAATACGACATTTTGACATGCTTGTGTACAGAGTTGAATATACCGGGCACCAGGTCGCCAACGTTTTCATCTAGAAACGAGATATTTGTCTGAGGTAGCTTTCGCGGACACAAAAAATTTTCTTGGCTTCGCTACACATGCAGAAACTATACAGAACTATACTGTACATGCAGAAAATTTGAAAAACAATAGGGACCATGTTTCGGTTGCATGGATAGTTGGCCAGTTGGGATTAAGTTAAGTACGATTGGTCATAATATGGATAATTCCATGCAGCTATCGACTAATCTTTTTTTATCTATAGACAAGAAAGACGAAATCTATCGTTATAGCTCAAAAGAGCATCCTAAAATTAGCAAAATTGCAAAGTTTGGTTGCGAAATGTGGTAAAGTACAAAAAATATAGTGCTGTAAAATTAGCAGATTTTGAGTATTTCAGTATTACGCGCGGTCATGCGGGATCAGCACGACCGATCAATGTAAAAATTGAAAAGCTATACTGTACAATACAATACAATAAAATTTATTTATCCACGGTGGAATCTTCAGTATATACAGTACATTATATATAAATAAGTTTAAGCATGCAAAAATAAATAAAAGAATATGATCTACTGGTTTCCAAGATTGCCGTGTGGGAGTTCATCTAAACTATTATAACACTTGTTTACAAGTTTCCGAAACTGAGCAAACGATTGGAGCATTCTTATATTTTCGGGAAGGCTATTCCACAGCACTACTCCACTGTACTGAAAGCTTCGCTTCACATAATTAGTTCGTGGCTTGGGTAGATTTAATTTCATTTCAAAGTTCCTAAGATTATATTCTGAGCCACGAACTGAAAAAGATTTTGTAGCCAACCGTTAAAGCCCAGGTCACACTACACAACGATAACGATACGATAACTTGTATTCGCGCGCTGATTGGTCAAAAATTTATCGTTGTCGTCCGACTGAAAAAAAAATCGCTCAGGTGAGCGATTTTAAAATTGTTATCGTCTAACGATAATTTTACCATTTTCGTTGTTGTGTGGACACTAATACAATTTTTTTGACAATTATCGCGTGTTTACAATTTATTGTATCGTTATCGTTGTGTAGTGTGACCGGGCCTTAAGCCTGCTTAAACCTTGCGGTATGTCGGCCGGCTATTGTCGTTAGCAGTTCAACCAAAAATAATTCACAAAAGAATCTATGCATCAACAGCTGTATCAAACAATGAAGGCGGATTTCCATCCAGTGAAAAAATTTCGCACGATCGCTTTCTTTTGAATTGTGTGCAGTCAACTACAGCTAATGAGATTTGTTCCGCTTGACTGTTTATATTTCAAAGGAAAGCGATCGCAACATTTTGTACTAACTGAAACCCGCCTTCATTATTAGTCTTATAATTAAACTGGTTACCAGTAAAGGAACAATTAACGTGAATGCACCATGGGCGGATTTACTGAAGGGGGG